CTTTCTTTTTTTAATGAAGGCAGTGGCTGTTCGCGTGTGTGTGTGTGTGTGTGTGTGTGTGTGTGTGTGTGTGTGTGTGTGTGTATCATCCGTCCGTCCGTCCGCCTGCCCGTCCGTCCATTCATCTGCCTGTCCGTCCGTCCGTCTGTCTGCCCGTCCATCCATCTGCCCGTCCGTCGGTCCGCCCGCCCGACCGTCCGTCCGTCCGTCTGCCCGACCGTCCATCCGTCCGTCTGCCCCTACGTCCCTCTGCCCGTCCGTCCGTCTGCCCGTCCGTCCGTTTATCTGCCTGTCCGTCCATCCGTCTGCCCATCTGTCTGCTCGTCCGTCCGTCCGTCTGCCTGCCCGCCCATCTGCCTGTCCGTCCATCTGCCCGTCCGTCCGTCTGTCCGTCTGCCCGTCTGTCCTTCCGTCCATCCGTTTGCCCGTCCATTTGCCCGTCTGCCCGTCCGTCCGTCTGCCTGTCCGTCCGTCCGTCTGCCAGCCCGCACGTCTGCCAGCCCGACCGTCTGCCCGTCCGTCCGTCCGTCCACCCGCCTGTCCGTCCGTCCGCCCGTCCGTCTGCCCGTCCGTCTGCCCATCCCTCCGCCTCTCTGTCTGCCCATCCGTCCGTCTGCCCGCCTGTCCGTCTGCCCGTCAGTCCGCCCGTCCGTCCGTCTGCCCATCYGTCCGTCCACCCGTCCGTCCTTTCATCTGTCTGTCCGTCCATCCATCTGCCCGTCTGTCTGCCCGTCCGTCCGTCTGCCCGCTTGTCAGACTGCCAGTCCATCCGTGTGCCCACCTGCCTTCCGTCCGTCTTCCCATCCATCCATCTGCCCGCCCGTCCATCCGTCAGTCCACCCGTCTGTCCGTCCGTCCACCCGTCCGTCCGCCCGTCCGTCTGCCCGTCCGTCTGCCCGTCCCTCTGCCTCTCTGTCTGCCCGTCCGTCCGTCTGCCCGCCTGTCTGTCTGCCTGTCCCACTGCCCGTCCGTCCGTCTGCCCGTCCTTCTGCCCGTCTGTCCTTCCCTTCCATCCGTCCGTCTGCCAGCCTGCAAGTCTGCCAGACCATCCATCTGCCTGTCCGTCCATCCGCCAGACCGTCCGTCCGTCCGTCCGTCTGCCCCTCCGTCCGCCTGCCCAACCATCCATCCCTCTGCCCATTGGTCTGTTCATCTGCCTGTCCGTCCATCCGTCCATCTCCCCATCCTTCTGCCCGTCCGTCCATCTGCCCGTCCGTCCGTCTGCCCCTCCGTCTGTCTGCCCGACCATCCATCCATCCTTCTGCCCCTATGTCCCTCTGCCCGTCCCTCCGTCCGCCCGTCCTTCCGTTCATCTGTCTGTCCGTCCATCCGTCTGCCCRTCTGTCTGCCCGTCCGTCCGTCTGCCTGCTTGTCCGACTGCCTGTCAGTCCGTCTGCCCGTCCCTCCGCCCGTCCGTCCGTCTGCCCGTCCGTCCGTCTGCCCATCCGTCCGTCCACCCGTCCGTCCGTTCATCTGTCTGTCCGTCCATCCGTCTGCCCGTCTGTCTGCCCGTCCGTCCGTCTGCCCGCTTGTCAGACTGCCAGTCCATCTGTCTGCCCACCTGCCTTCCGTCCGTCTTCCCATCCATCCATCTGCCCGCCCGTCCGTCCGTCAGTCCACCCGTCTGTCCGTCCGTCCACCCCTCCGTCCGTCCGCCCGCCCGTCCGTCTGCAGCCCGCACGTCTGCCAGCCCGTCCGTCTGCCCGTCCATCAGTCCGTCCGTCCTTCCGCCCGTCCGTCTGCCCGTACTTCTGCCCGTCCGTCCGCCCGCCCGTCCACCCACCAGTCCGTCTGCCCGCCCGTGCATCTGCCCATCCGTCTGCTCGTCCATCTGTCCTTCCACCCATCAGTCTGCCAGGACGTCCGTCTGCCCACCTGCCTTCCGTCCGTCTGGCCGTCCGTCCATCTGCCCGCCCGTCCGTCCGTCCGTCCGTCAGTCCACCCGTCCGTCTGTCTGCCCAGCATGTCTGCCAGCCCGTCCGTCTGCCCGTCCATCAGTCCGTCCATCCACCCGCCCGTCCTCCCGTCCGTCTGCCCGTCCGTCTGCCCGTCCTTCTGCCCGTCCGTCCACCCGCTCGTCCACCCACAAGTCCGTCTGCCCGCCTGTGCATCTGCCCATCCATCTGCTCGTCCATCCGTCCTTCCACCCATCAGTCTGCCAGTCCATCTGTCTGCCCACCTGCCTTCCGTCCGTCTTCCCATCCATCCATCTGCCCGCCCGTCCGTCCGTCAGTCCACCCGTCTGTCCGTCCGTCCACCCCTCCGTCCGTCCGCCCGCCCGTCCGTCTGCAGCCCGCACGTCTGCCAGCCCGTCCGTCTGCCTGTCCATCAGTCCGTCCGTCCACCCACCCGTCCGTCCTTCCGTCCGTCCGCCCGTCCGTCTGCCCGTCCGTCTGCCCGTCCCTCCGCCCGTCCGTCTGTCTGCCCGTACTTCTGCCCGTCCGTCCGCCCGTCCACCCACCAGTCCGTCTGCCCGCCCGTGCATCTGCCCATCCGTCTGCTCGTCCATCCGTCCTTCCATCCATCAGTCTGCCAGTACGTCCGTCTGCCCACCTGCCTTCCGTCCGTCTGGCCATCCGTCCATCTGCCCGTCCGTCCGTCCATCCATCCGCCCGCCCGCCTGTCCATCCGCCTGTCCGTCCACCGCCGGTCCGTCCATCCACCCGCCAGTCCGTCCACCCGCCTGTCCGTCTGTCCACCCGCCGATCGGTCCATCCACCCGCCTGTCCGTCCACCCGCCTGTCCTTTGCCCGTCCATCCGTTTATCTGCCAGTCTGTCTGCCCGTCCATCCGTATGCCCACACATCCATCTGCCAATCTGCCCGTCCGTCTGCCCGTCCCTCTGCCCGTCCGTCCATCTGCCCGTCCATCTGCCCGTCCGTCAGTCTGCCCGTCCACCCGCCAGCCTGTCGGCCCGTCCATCTGCCCGTATGTCCGTCCGTCTGCCCGTCCGTCCATTCATCCGCCCATCTGCCCTTCCGTCCGTCTGTCCGTCTGCCAGCCCGTCCATCTGCCCGTCCGTCCGCCGCCCGTCCACCCACCAGTCCGCTGCTTGCCCGTGCATCTGCCCATCCGTCTGCTCGTCCGTCCGTCCGTCCACCCATCAGTCTGCTAGTCCGTCCGTCTGCCCACCTGCATTCCGTCCGTCTGCCCGTCCGTCCATCTGCCCGCCCGTCCCTCCGTCAGTCCACCCGTCCGTCCGTCCGTCCGCCCATCCGTCTAACCAGCCTGTCCATCTGCCCGTCCGTCCGTCCACCTGCCCGTCCGTCCTTCCGCCCGCCCGTCTGTCTGCCCATCCGTCCGTCCTTCCGTCCGTCCGTCTGCCCTTCCGTCTTCCCGTCCGTATGCCGTCACTCCACCCGTTCGTTTGTCTGCCCGTCCTTCTGCCCGCCCGTCCGTCTGCCCGTCCACCCACCAGTCCGTCTGCCCGCCCGTGCAT